TTATTGTGCGATATAGTTTTAGAGAAGCTGTATGTTTCTAATATGGCTTTATTATTTCCACTGTTGTAGTCATATCTTTTATCAGTGTGGCATTCAAAATCGCAAACACTCATGTAGAATCATCCCAGTTACATTGTGTTTAAATATGCAAGATATCTTATGAGGAAAGGCTTTGTTTATATATTTTTCATAGTTTTATGTTAAACTGTGTCTTGAATATTGATTGGCTACAAACTCAAAATTTGTATAAGGCTATTTATAGGGCAAGGTGAACTTATACATTGTAGGAGCATAAACTAAAATTCTATTGTGTTTCTAGAAACTTTTCACAAACTAGTAAGCCTAGACTCCCATGGTTTGGTTGAAATTATATAAAAGATTTTTTTCAAAAATGATTTTACTTTTATCAAAATGATAAATTCAATTGATTGTTCCATGTTTATAGATTTCTACGAGAGAGAAAAAAGGAAATATGAAGCATACAAATTTAACACCATGACTATAGTATTTGTTGCATAATCAATTATGTTTAAACATATTTTTTGGTGAAGAAAGTTATAAATGATGAATCTTGAAGGAAAGTGCAGAAGAAAAAAGGCGCATGTAGTTTTTACATCATGGAATAAGAATAGATCAGGGTTGTCATTACCGCAAATGTGGACTTAGCATATAAGTAAATATCGCAATTCAATTCTAGAAGTCAGTAAGGCCTTGTGAGTTTCGTCCTTTTAAATTACATCAATATTATCTATAAATGAATGACAATTTGTACTTGGTACTCTTAAGTAGGCAGTACAGTTGGTTTAAAAAATCTGACATCATACGTGTATTGCAATAAGCATTGTGTGTGTATTTAATTATGCATTCCTTCGTTTGGCTGTCTGCCAGAAAAAGACAGGATATGTTCTTCTCATATATTTTATGATGGTATGATACTAAATCCTCGGGAGGGATTGTGCTTGATTTTCATATGATGAAGACATAATCTTCCAATCAGTTTCATTGAGTTCTAGAGCTGACATGTCAGTAATTGCTAGTAGTCCGGGCACTTGTTTATTTATGTATCATTGTCATTTTGCTTAGTTTCTTTTGTTACCTATTCTGACATCGGACTTGGGCTTCTTTTAAACTGAGGTTTACTGTGCGTATTGTTGTGTGTTTGTTTCTTCTACATTGGCTAGAGGTATAAGGGGAGGGTTAAGATCTCACAAAACACGTTTAACTCCGCCGCATGTTTGCGCCTGTTCCAAGTAAGAAGACTCTAGCCTTTGTTAGTCTTGTATGTTTTTAATTCTTAGTTCATTTAAATATGTTTTGGAGTTTGGTGTGACGTCCATTTTCAGTGAACTAGTACACATTTTGTTTAGGGATCAGCTTAAGCCCGCTTCTGGATGCGGGAATTTCTTGCTCTAGTGTGTTGAAGACCCATTGGTGGCCTTCGGCGGTTTCTGCTCTTTGGTCGGGTTGAAACATTCACCATTTCCGTTCTCAATTTTCAAGAATGTTAGGTTCAAATGAAAATTAAATCCTTTAATCTCCGTGAACAATTAATGTACATTATTTATTGCTTCAGTAGTACCAAGTACGTACAGTTGTGAAAGATATATATATATATATATATATACAAGTCTAAATTGAAAACAACGTTCAAACCTATGAATGCGTTGGATAAAAACCGCAATTTTTATACGTGTGCATGCAAAACAAATTTCTTGGTAGAGGGGTCAAAATACAGCACAAACAACATTTTCCAAAAGACCAAATGAGTGAAAAAGTATATTTTAACAAAACGCATTTGACTAGCAGGTCGAACAACTGATGTTCTTAAACCCTGCTGACTGCCAGTGGCGATTGCCAAATAAACGGATCACAAGATGTAACAAAATAGATCTAATTATTAATTTATTACCAAACAGAAAACAACAAACTTGCGGAAAAGATGGTATACCGCAAACATGAGGTGCAAAAATTTGTACACCATATCCGGATTTCGACAATTAATGTCTCTTCAGTGATGTTAGGAATCGAAACGGTATTTGGAAGGCCATTTAATTTACCTCAATTTAGGATAGACTCTTGAATTTTGAAAGAGTCAAAATAGGATGAACGGATCATATAGACCCGAAGGCAAATATAATACAAGCCCAAACGAAAAAATATAAACAAGTCTAAATTGAAAACAACGTTCAAACCTATGATTGCGTTGGATAAAAAGCGCAATTTTTATACGTGTGCATGCAAAACAAATTTCTTGGTAGAGGGGTCTAAATACAGCACAAACAACATTTTCCAAAAGACTAAATGAGTGAAAAAGTATATTTTAACAAAACGCATTTGACTATATATATATATATATATAATGCAAAATGTTTTAATCATTTTACCTTACAGTTCATGCATTTCATGTACATGTAGATATGGATGGTCTGTTTTTAAATCTTAAAAATTCATACAGAAGGTATACGCATAACAATAAACTGAACTCAATGCATAGAACCTTAAAAATAAACTTAGAAAGAGAGCTCAATCTAGTGATATATTTTGTTATACTGGTCACATGTAACTTGTTTGTCACTGCCTGTTACCAAACTCATTGAGATCCTGAATACAAATTGCAAATTACTCCTTTTAGAAGTAGAATTCAGAGGAAGTAAAACAGTTGTTTAAATAAATGTAGAATGTGTCTATGGGCCGCAGAGTCAACTTCCATATATAGATGCAGGATTTACGTAGTTAAGACTGTTTTGTGATTATAAACATTGTGTATAAGTTTCCAATCATTTGGTTAGAGAACGGAAACGACAGATTTACCAATTTTCCTTTTTAAGGTTCCGTGTTGAGGGCCGTACTTTGAACTATAATGGTTTACTCTTTACAAACTGTGACTTGGATGAGAGTTGTCTCATTGGCACTCATACAACATCTTCTTATATATCTAGTGACTCATGAACAGTAAAAGTGACGCCACCCAATATCGAACGTGATCTGTGTTTAGTGGTGATAAGCATTGCGTATAAGTTTAATAACATTTGGTTGAGGCAAACTAAAGTTAGGAGAACGGAAACTATTGTTTTGATGTACGGAACGGACGGACCAGGGTAACATTTTATACCCCCTCCGCTACGGCGGCAACACAGAATTTCTGACTACTGGTGATACCCAAGGTTTAACCTCCACCAGCACTGGCATCAACCCACATACAATTTTGATTTCTTTATTTTGGGCAAATAAAGCCATGATTATGCAACCTCTTCACAAGGAGTGTCATATTTTACAAATTGTTTCTACATATACATTTTTTGTAACATTTTATAGCTTATCAGTTTTAATTCAACTTACAAACTTAAATTGTTCATTATTTCCCCTTTTATATGTCTTTTAACATTCTGTTTTGAACAGAACGATTTGTTACATATACTGCACATGTATTTCTAGCAAATCTGACATTATTTCCACTATTTTAAACATTATTACAAAGCCAATCAAATAAAATTCAGTCGAAGTTGAAAATATAAATGTTCAATCAAATATATATATATGCAAGTCCGCAATTTGCTATATGTACAATTCGTTGGCTAATTGAACGACATGTCCTAAGTTGGTGTTTTTAAAACTTCTAGAAAACAATTGACGGAAATAAAGGACAAGTAGTGAAAAATAAATGAAACTGACGGAACGACTGATTCAAAATTAAATGAAAAGGATGTTCGATATACTGTATATTTAGGTTGATGTACATATATACGATTCTATATTTTTATCCAGTTTCCAATGTCAAAATAATTAAAATGAGAAGATATTAACCTTATAGCTTTATTTTCCGGCGATGCTGAAATGTAAAATGAAATAAAACAAGTTAAGCGTCTTTGACCCACTTTATCTTTTTATTCGGTCTTCTTCTCAAAGTTCAACGGGAACAATAGAAAAGAACCCGGATAGAACCAATAAGTTGGGTTGCTATAACCAAACAACCCGGATGTTGAACCAGTTACCATGGTTTCGAACCAAAGAACCCGGATAGAACCAAGGGTCTGAACCAAAAGACCCAGATGGAACCAAGGTTTTGAACCAGAGTACCCGGATAGAACCTAATTGCATTCGGAAATCTCATGACTTTTTATACCTTCAACGTATTTTCTAAATCATTTATTTATTTAGTATATTTATATATAATTTATTTTTGTTTTTTTCGGGGGGAGGGGGAGAGTTACGTATTGGTGTAATTAATCAAATCCAATGCAAACTGATGTTGATGGTTTATTCATTTATTGTGATGTTACATCACTGCCTTGGTTAGGGAGAGGGTTAAGCGCTCACACACATCTTTGACCTGACCATGTTTTAATATTTTCTGAAATACAGCAAAATTAAACACCCGCAAACCCATCGACATTACATAATTCGCCATAATAAGCAAACGCAAAAAAACAGTACTTTCGCATTTTACTTAATTGAGAAATGTTAGCTCTGAAATGTAATATACATTGCATTCAAATAAGAAAAAAACATATTATGAAGGAATGATTTTATATTCACGCTATTCGGGACAAGCAATTGAACAACATTAACAGATATTTACGCAGGAATCAAATTGCATATACCAACAAACAAACATAAACCTAACCAAATAAATAAATTGAATTTTTGTCAGCACTTTTTATGTCGATCGATTCCGTTCTAAGTGTAATAATTCCGTATAGAAGTTGACAATTTAGTGAATGAAACGAATAAATGTCATTTAAAGTTAACGAGTCGAGTCGCCTGTCATTATTATAATATGTAAATTCTCAACTGTGTCAAAACTTTAGATAGACAATTCATAAATCGAGCTCAATTCAAGCCAAACAAAAAAATAAAATAATTTTAGAGTATTGATTTCAAACATTTGTAAAAAGGTTCGTATATTAAATCACAAGAAAATCTGGTAATTCACACCCACATTGCGTGTCAGATATTCCTTTTATATAGATTATGTATTTTCATTGATGATTCAACAGTTATTTTGTAAATACACACTATGTTTACACATATGTGTATCGGTTGCGTTGGTCTATGATTTGTGAGACAAAAGTAGCGGAAAAACGAGATATTGTGATATCCACATCATCTGCGGTAAGATTTTTATTTCAAACATCAAAACCTTTATCAAAACTGTTATCTTTTAAAGACGTACTGATACAAAATATGATTTATGTTATATATATCGACCAAGCAAGTCGGTATATGTCATGTGTGTGTATTTAATTATGCATTCCTTTGTTTGGCTGTCTGCCAGACAAAGACAGGATATGTTCTTCTCATACATTTTATGATGGTATGATACTAAATCCTTAACGGGAGGGATTGTGCTTGATTTTCATATGATGAAGACATAATCTTCCAATCAGTTTCATTAAGGTCTAGAGCTGACATGTCAGTAATTGCTAGTAGTCCGGGCCCTTTTTTATTTATGTATCATTGTCATTTTACTTAGTTTCTTTTGTTACCTATTCTGACATCGGACCTGGGCTTCTTTTAAACTGAGTTTTACTGTGCGTATTGTTGTGTGTTTGTTTCTTCTACATTGGCTAGAGCTATAAGGGGAGGGTTTAGATCCCACAAAACACGTTTAACCCCGCCGCATGTTTGCGCCTGTCCCAAGTAAGAAAACTCTAGCCTTTGTTAGTCTTGTATGTTTTTAATTCTTAGTTCATTTAAATATGTTTTGGAGTTTGGTGTGACGTCCATTTTCAGTGAACTAGTACACATTTATTTAGGGATCAGCTTAAGCCCGCTTCTGGGTGCGGGATTTTCTTGCTCTAGTGTGTTGAAGACCCATTGGTGGCCTTCGGCGGTTTCTGCTCTTTGGTCGGGTTGTTGTCTCTTTGAAACATTCACCATTTCCGTTCTCAATTTTCAAGAATGTTAGGTTCAAATGAAAATTAAATCCTTTAATCTCCGTGAACAATTAATGTAAATTATTTATTGCTTCAGTAGTACCAAGTACGTACAGTTATAAAAGATATATATATTTATATATATATATATATATATATATATATATACAAGTCTAAATTGAAAACAACGTTCAAACCTATGATTGCGTTGGATAAAAACCGCAATTTTTATACGTTTGCATGCAAAACAAATTTCTTGGTAGAGGGTTCTAAATACAGCACAAACAACATTTTCCAAATGACCAAATGAGTGAAAAAGTATATTTTAACAAAACGCATTTGACTACCAGGTCGAACAACTGATGTTCTTAAACCCTGCTGACTGCCATTGGCGATTGCCAAATAAACGGATCACAAGATGTAGCAAAACAGATCTTATTATTAAATTATTACCAAACAGAAAACAATAAACGTGCGGAAAAGATGGTATACCGCAAACATGAGGTGCAAAACATTTGTACACCATATCCGGATTTCGACAATTAATGTCTCTTCAGTGATGTTAGGAATCGAAACGGTATTTGGAAGGCCATATAATTTACCTCAATTTAGGATAGACTCTTGAATTTTGAAAGAGTCAAAATAGGATGAACGGATCATATAGACCCGAAGGCAAATATAATACAAGCCCAAACGAAAAAATATAAACAAGTCTAAATTGAAAACAACGTTCAAACCTATGATTGCATTGGATAAAAACCGCAATTTTTATACCTGTGCATGCAAAACAAATTTCTTGGTAGAGGGGTCTAAATACAGCACAAACAACATTTTCCAAAAGACCAAATGAGTGAAAAAGTAAATTTTAACAAAAGCATTTGACTATATATATATATATATATATATATAATGCAAAATGTTTTAATCATTTTACCTTACAGTTCATGCAATTCATGTACATGTAGATATGGATGGTCTGTTTTTAAATCTTAAAAATTCATACAGAAGGTATACGCATAACAATAAACTGAACTCAATGCATAGAACCTTAAAAATAAACTTAGAAAGAGAGCTCAATCTAGTGATATATTTTGTTATACTGGTCACATGTAACTTGTTTGTCACTGCCTGTTACCAAACGCATTGAGATCCTGAATACAAATTTGCAAATTACTCCTTTTAGAAGTAGAATTCAGAGGAAGTAAAACAGTTGTTTAAATAAATGTAGAATGTGTCTATGGGCCGCAGAGTCAACTTCCATATATAGATGCAGGATTTACGTAGTTAAGACTGTTTTGTGATTATAAACATTGTGTATAAGTTTCCAATCATTTGGTTAGAGAACGGAAACGACAGATTTACCAATTTTCCTTTTTAAGGTTCCGTGTTGAGGACCGTACTTTGAACTATAATGGTTTACTCTTTACAAACTGTGACTTGGATGAGAGTTGTCTCATTGGCACTCATACAACATCTTCTTATATATCTAGTGACTCATGAACAGTAAAAGTGACGCCACCCAATATCGAACGTGATCTGTGTTTAGTGGTGATAAGCATTGCGTATAAGTTTAATAATATTTGGTTGAGGCAAACTTAAGTTAGGAGAACGGAAACTATTGTTTTGATGTACGGAACGGACGGACCAGGGTAACATTTTATACCCCCTCCGCTACGGCGACAACACAGAATTTCTGACTACTGGTGATACCCAAGGTTTAACCTCCACCAGCACTGGCATCAACCCACATACAATTTTGATTTCTTTATTTTGAGCAAATAAAGCCATGATTATGCAACCTCTTCACAAGGAGTGTCATATTTTACAAATTGTTTCTACATATACATTTTTTGTAACATTTTATAGCTTATCAGTTTTAATTCAACTTACAAACTTAAATTGTTCATTATTTCCCCTTTTATATGTCTTTTAACATTCTGTTTTGAACAGAACGATTTGTTACATATACTGCACATGTATTTCTAGCAAATCTGACATTATTTCCACTATTTTAAACATTATTACAAAGCCAATCAAATAAAATTCAGTCGAAGTTGAAAATATAAATGTTCAATCAAATATATATAATTGCAAGTCCGCAATTTGCTATATGCACAATTCGTTGGCCAATTGAACGACATGTCCTAAGTTGGTGTTTTTAAAACTTCTAGAAAACAATTGACGGAAATAAAGGACAAGTAGTGAAAAATAAATGAAACTGACGGAACGACTGATTCAAAATTAAATGAAAAGGATGTTCGATATACTGTATATTTAGGTTGATGTACATATATACGATTCTATATTTTTATCCAGTTTCCAATGTCAAAATAATTAAAATGAGAAGATATTAACCTTATAGCTTTATTTTCCGGCGATGCTGAAATGAATAATTATATATAGAACCATTAAGTTGGGTTGCTATAACCAAACAACCCGGATGTTGAACCAGTTACCATGGTTTCGAACCAAAGAACCCGGATAGAACCAAGGGTCTGAACCAAAAGACCCAGATGGAACCAAGGTTTTGAACCAGAGTACCCGGATAGAACCTTATTGCATTCGGAAATCTCATGACTTTTTATACCTTCAACGTATTTTCTAAATCATTTATTTATTTAGTATATTTATATATAATTTATTTTTGTTTTTTTTCGGGGGGAGGGGGAGAGTTACGTATTGGTGTAATTAATCAAATCCAATGCAAACTGATGTTGATGGTTTATTCATTTATTGTGATGTTACATCACTGCCTTGGTTAGGGAGAGGGTTAAGCGCTCACACACATCTTTGACCTGACCATGATTTAATATTTTCTGAAATACAGCAAAATTAAACACCCGCAAACCCATCGACATTACATAATTCGCCATAATAAGCAAACGCAAAAAAACACTACTTTCGCATTTTACTTAATTGAGAAATGTTAGCTCTGAAATGTAATATACATTGCATTCAAATAAGAAAAAAACATATTATGAAGGAATGATTTTATATTCACGCTATTCGGGACAAGCAATTGAACAACATTAACAGATATTTACGCAGGAATCAAATTGCATATACCAACAAACAAACATAAACCTAACCAAATAAATAAATTGAATTTTTGTCAGCACTTTTTATGTCGATCGATTCCGTTCTAAGTGTAATAATTCCGTATAGAAGTTGACAATTTAGTGAATGAAACGAATAAATGTCATTTAAAGTTAACGAGTCGAGTCGCCTGTCATTATTATAATATGTAAATTCTCAACTGTGTCAAAACTTTAGATAGACAATTCATAAATCGAGCTCAATTCAAGCCAAACAAAAAAATAAAATAATTTTAGAGTATTGATTTCAAACATTTGTAAAAAGGTTCGTATATTAAATCACAAGAAAATCTGGTAATTCACACCCACATTGCGTGTCAGATATTCCTTTTATATAGATTATGTATTTTCATTGATGATTCAACAGTTATTTTGTAAATACACACTATGTTTACACATATGTGTATCGGTTGCGTTGGTCTATGATTTGTGAGACAAAAGTAGCGGAAAAACGAGATATTGTGATATCCACATCATCTGCGGTAAGATTTTTATTTCAAACATCAAAACCTTTATCAAAACTGTTATCTTTTAAAGACGTACTGATACAAAATATGATTTATGTTATATATATCGACCAAGCAAGTCGGTATATGTCATGTGTGTGTATTTAATTATGCATTCCTTTGTTTGGCTGTCTGCCAGACAAAGACAGGATATGTTCTTCTCATACATTTTATGATGGTATGATACTAAATCCTTAACGGGAGGGATTGTGCTTGATTTTCATATGATGAAGACATAATCTTCCAATCAGTTTCATTAAGGTCTAGAGCTGACATGTCAGTAATTGCTAGTAGTCCGGGCCCTTTTTTATTTATGTATCATTGTCATTTTACTTAGTTTCTTTTGTTACCTATTCTGACATCGGACCTGGGCTTCTTTTAAACTGAGTTTTACTGTGCGTATTGTTGTGTGTTTGTTTCTTCTACATTGGCTAGAGCTATAAGGGGAGGGTTTAGATCCCACAAAACACGTTTAACCCCGCCGCATGTTTGCGCCTGTCCCAAGTAAGAAAACTCTAGCCTTTGTTAGTCTTGTATGTTTTTAATTCTTAGTTCATTTAAATATGTTTTGGAGTTTGGTGTGACGTCCATTTTCAGTGAACTAGTACACATTTATTTAGGGATCAGCTTAAGCCCGCTTCTGGGTGCGGGATTTTCTTGCTCTAGTGTGTTGAAGACCCATTGGTGGCCTTCGGCGGTTTCTGCTCTTTGGTCGGGTTGTTGTCTCTTTGAAACATTCACCATTTCCGTTCTCAATTTTCAAGAATGTTAGGTTCAAATGAAAATTAAATCCTTTAATCTCCGTGAACAATTAATGTAAATTATTTATTGCTTCAGTAGTACCAAGTACGTACAGTTATGAAAGATATATATATTTATATATATATATATATATATATATATATACAAGTCTAAATTGAAAACAACGTTCAAACCTATGATTGCGTTGGATAAAAACCGCAATTTTTATACGTTTGCATGCAAAACAAATTTCTTGGTAGAGGGGTCTAAATACAGCACAAACAACATTTTCCAAAAGACCAAATGAGTGAAAAAGTATATTTTAACAAAACGCATTTGACTACCAGGTCGAACAACTGATGTTCTTAAACCCTGCTGACTGCCATTGGCGATTGTCAAATAAACGGATCACAAGATGTAGCAAAACAGATCTTATTATTAAATTATTACCAAACAGAAAACAATAAACGTGCGGAAAAGATGGTATACCGCAAACATGAGGTGCAAAAAATTTGTACACCATATCCGGATTTCGACAATTAATGTCTCTTCAGTGATGTTAGGAATCGAAACGGTATTTGGAAGGCCATATAATTTACCTCAATTTAGGATAGACTCTTGAATTTTGAAAGAGTCAAAATAGGATGAACGGATCATATAGACCCGAAGGCAAATATAATACAAGCCCAAACGAAAAAATATAAACAAGTCTAAATTGAAAACAACGTTCAAACCTATGATTGCGTTGGATAAAAACCGCAATTTTTATACCTGTGCATGCAAAACAAATTTCTTGGTAGAGGGGTCTAAATACAGCACAAACAACATTTTCCAAAAGACCAAATGAGTGAAAAAGTATATTTTAACAAAAGCATTTGACTATATATATATATATAGATATATAATGCAAAATGTTTTAATCATTTTACCTTACAGTTCATGCATTTCATGTACATGTAGATATGGATGGTCTGTTTTTAAATCTTAAAAATTCATACAGAAGGTATACGCATAACAATAAACTGAACTCAATGCATAGAACCTTAAAAATAAACTTAGAAAGAGAGCTCAATCTAGTGATATATTTTGTTATACTGGTCACATGTAACTTGTTTGTCACTGCCTGTTACCAAACGCATTGAGATCCTGAATACAAATTTGCAAATTACTCCTTTTAGAAGTAGAATTCAGAGGAAGTAAAACAGTTGTTTAAATAAATGTAGAATGTGTCTATGGGCCGCAGAGTCAACTTCCATATATAGATGCAGGATTTACGTAGTTAAGACTGTTTTGTGATTATAAACATTGTGTATAAGTTTCCAATCATTTGGTTAGAGAACGGAAACGACAGATTTACCAATTTTCCTTTTTAAGGTTCCGTGTTGAGGACCGTACTTTGAACTATAATGGTTTACTCTTTACAAACTGTGACTTGGATGAGAGTTGTCTCATTGGCACTCATACAACATCTTCTTATATATCTAGTGACTCATGAACAGTAAAAGTGACGCCACCCAATATCGAACGTGATCTGTGTTTAGTGGTGATAAGCATTGCGTATAAGTTTAATAATATTTGGTTGAGGCAAACTTAAGTTAGGAGAACGGAAACTATTGTTTTGATGTACGGAACGGACGGACCAGGGTAACATTTTATACCCCCTCCGCTACGGCGACAACACAGAATTTCTGACTACTGGTGATACCCAAGGTTTAACCTCCACCAGCACTGGCATCAACCCACATACTATTTTGATTTCTTTATTTTGAGCAAATAAAGCCATGATTATGCAACCTCTTCACAAGGAGTGTCATATTTTACAAATTGTTTCTACATATACATTTTTTGTAACATTTTATAGCTTATCAGTTTTAATTCAACTTACAAACTTAAATTGTTCATTATTTCCCCTTTTATATGTCTTTTAACATTCTGTTTTGAACAGAACGATTTGTTACATATACTGCACATGTATTTCTAGCAAATCTGACATTATTTCCACTATTTTAAACATTATTACAAAGCCAATCAAATAAAATTCAGTCGAAGTTGAAAATATAAATGTTCAATCAAATATATATATATGCAAGTCCGCAATTTGCTATATGCACAATTCGTTGGCCAATTGAACGACATGTCCTAAGTTGGTGTTTTTAAAACTTCTAGAAAACAATTGACGGAAATAAAGGACAAGTAGTGAAAAATAAATGAAACTGACGGAACGACTGATTCAAAATTAAATGAAAAGGATGTTCGATATACTGTATATTTAGGTTGATGTACATATATACGATTCTATATTTTTATCCAGTTTCCAATGTCAAAATAATTAAAATGAGAAGATATTAACCTTATAGCTTTATTTTCCGGCGATGCTGAAATGAATAATTATATATAGAACCAATAAGTTGGGTTGCTATAACCAAACAACCCGGATGTTGAACCAGTTACCATGGTTTCGAACCAAAGAACCCGGATAGAACCAAGGGTCTGAACCAAAAGACCCAGATGGAACCAAGGTTTTGAACCAGAGTACCCGGATAGAACCTAATTGCATTCGGAAATCTCATGACTTTTTATACCTTCAACGTATTTTCTAAATCATTTATTTATTTAGTATATTTATATATAATTTATTTTTGTTTTTTCGGGGGGAGGGGAGGGAGTTACGTATTGGTGTAATTAATCAAATCCAATGCAAACTGATGTTGATGGTCTATTCATTTATTGTGATGTTACATCACTGCCTTGGTTAGGGAGAGGGTTAAGCGCTCACACACATCTTTGACCTGACCATGTTTTAATATTTTCTGAAATACAGCAAAATTAAACACCCGCAAACCCATCGACATTACATAATTCGCCATAATAAGCAAACGCAAAAAAACACTACTTTCGCATTTTACTTAATTGAGAAATGTTAGCTCTGAAATGTAATATACATTGCATTCAAATAAGAAAAAAAACCATATTATGAAGGGATGATTTTATATTCACGCTATTCGGGACAAGCAATTGAACAACATTAACAGATATTTACGCAGGAATCAAATAGCATATACCAACAAACAAACATAAACCTAACCAAATAAATAAATTGAATTTTTGTCAGCACTTTTTATGTCGATCGATTCCGTTCTAAGTGTAATAATTCCGTATAGAAGTTGACAATTTAGTGAATGAAACGAATAAATGTCATTTAAAGTTAACGAGTCGAGTCGCCTGTCATTATTATAATATGTAATTTCTCAACTGTGTCAAAACTTTAGATAGACAATTTATAAATCGAGCTCAATTCAAGCCAAACAAAAAAATAAATAATTACAGAGTATTGATTTCAAACATTTGTAAAAAGGTTCGTATATTAAATCACAAGAAAATCTGGTAATTCACACCCACATTGCGTGTCAGATATTCCTTTTATATAGATTATGTATTTTCATTGATGATTCAACAGTTATTTTGTAAATACACACTATGTTTACACATATGTGTATCGGTTGCGTTGCTCTATGATTTGTGAGACAAAAGTAGCGGAAAAACGAGATATTGTAATATCCGCATCATCTTCCGTAATATTTTTATTTCAAACATCAAAACCTTTATCAAAACTGTTATCTTTTAAAGACGTACTGATACAAAATATGATTTATGTTATAGTTATCGACCAAGCAAGTCGGTATATGTCATGTAATATCCACGGCTCGATCGACCCTACTCGACCCGAATGACGTAGACGTTCGGGTTAAAGGATCATCCTGACCGTTCAGGTTCAATGTTATATATATACCACGTCAGACATGAGTAAAAATGAATCTTTATGTCTATTGTCTTTTATTATTTATTTATTTATTTTGTGTTGCGGAGGGTTACGAATTGGTGTGATAAGTCAAACCCAATACAAACTGATAGTTAATTCATATAATATGTTGTTCCACCACTGCTTTGGTTAGGGAGAGGATTAAGTGCTAATTTGCATATTTGACCGAATCCTGTTTTGATATTTTGGAAATGCAGCGAAATTATACTCTCGCAAAGGTATCGACAGTACATAATTCGCCATAATTAGTAAACGCGAGAAATAAGTTTTCTTTTGACTTTTATTTCACAAATAAGTGTGTCAGCTCTGAAATCTTAAACAGACATTGAGAACCAATCGAACAGTATTACAGGAATTTAAATTTCATATACCAACAAGCAACCACAAACATAACCGAATGAATACATTGAATTTTTGTCACCATTTTTTATTTTAGTATTACCCATGTGTTGAACGAAACGAATAAATATATATTAAAGTTAACGAGTCGTCTGTATTTTCATATTAATTTACCTCTCAACTGCACCAAAACGCTCAATAGACAATTCATAAATCAGACTTAGTTTAAGCCAAACAAAAACAAAGAAACAAGTAATAACAGAATATTGTTTTCAAAGAAATTTATATAATTTACACCCACATTGCGAAGATAAGATATTCCTTTTTTTATTAACTATATACTTTGTATTAACAGTATTATTATTAAACAGTTATTTGGATAGTACAGACGATGTCAACATTTTTTTTGTATAGGATGACTTTGGTTAATGATTTATGAGACAAAAGTAGCGGGAAAGCTATTCATTTGCGATCCTTACATCATGTTATGCACATCATCTGTGGTAAGATTTTTTTTAAATCGACACCTTTATCAAACATTTATTGAATCAACGAAAAAGATGACTGTATATTTATTATGTTCGATATGAAATCGTTACATGCAATCTATTGAAGAGGGACCGATAAGAAAGGTATGGTTTATTAAATAGTTTTTGACAAAGAGAGTCAGTATATGTATATTGTTTGGTTTTTTAGTGATTAAGATTATAACCCATTGTTGACTGCTGTATATTTGACTTTTTTACCTATTATGTCTGTTTGTTATATTCACGCATCGTTGTCAATATAATGGAATTTGATGCGACTGTCACCCCCAAGTTTTGGTTGGGTTCGTGTTGCCTAGTCTTTAGTTTTCTATGTTGTGTCATGTGTACTATTATTTGTCTGTTTGTCTTCCTAATTTTTAGCCATGGCGTTGTCAGTTAATTTTCGATCTATGAGTTTGACTGTCCCTCTGGTATCTTTCGTCCCTCTTTCATACAAGTGAGAGTTTTAGCTAGATATAAAACCAGGTTCAATCCACCATTTTCTACATAAGAAAATGCCTGTACCAAGTCAGGAATATGACAGCTGTTATTTATTCGTTTGATGTGTTTGAACTTTTGATTTTGCCATTTGATTATGACTTATGTCTAGAAATTGACAATGAGGTTCGGTTGAAAACAAAACTTTACGACAAAAGAGATGATTTCAGCTTCCCAATTATGAATTTTCATTTTTAAACCAAGAGTTCCAAATGGTGAAGTAAAGATCATCACTTTGTAAACTTAACGAACGCCATCACGGGTTGGTTGGCCGTTATGAAGTGTCCGTTTCACAGATGATATCGGATGTGTTCCTTATGTCGTGACCACAATCCCGTTCCCTTTTCACGAATGTGACCTACCGAATTAGACTATTTACCCCTATTTGTGACATTTTTACCTATTTGTGACATTTTTACCTATTGTGTCTGGTTTTTTTTTCACAGATCGTTGTCAATATATTGGAATTTGATGCGACTTTCATACAAATGAGAGGTTTAGCTAGCTTTAAAACCAGGTTCAATCCACCATTTTCTACATAGGAAAATGCCTGTACCAAGTCAGGAATATGATAGTTGTTTACCATTTGTTTGATGTGTTTGAGCTTTTGATTTTGCCATTTGATTAGGGACTTTCCGTTTTGAATTTTCCTCAGAGTTCAGTAATTTTGTGATTTTACTTTTTATTGAAGACTACTAGTGTATGTTATTCTCTAAACGTGTCTAGGTGGTTTTTGTCGCTTGATGTCTCATTGGTGTTAAACCGAAATCTCCGAACATTTTATTTCCGTTTGGTGTACTTTTAACTCGGTGTATGTCAAATCATAAATGAAATGATAATTGATAAACAAAAAATCATTGCTTTTCTTTCCCTCAAGAATAGGCTCAGAGAAAGATTGATCGAAATAAAATTTCGTAAATTAAAGTCCAAAGGAAACGAGACAAAACAAAACACGTTTATCACTTTTTAATCTTAACCCGAATTAGATTCACAAATAGTCCATTAAAAGATGTTCATATCTAAAAGTCGTTAGAAATTCCATTGAGAGCAACACTTATCCAAATCAGATTTTGACTATTTGGATATTTTAAGAAATTTCAGAAAACAAAATTATCTTGTTTGACTTTGAAACACTAATTTTAGATTTAAAATGTACACATAATATCATAAGGTGTTCTTATGAATGATTAAAACTTTCTACTTCAGAATTTGAACTCACAAAGTATACACGAAGTTGTTGATTGATCAATGCCGTAAGTCCTAGTTCATTTGCTGATTCAAAGGTAGCGAAGAAACCGTACAGTATCTCTGAGGTTGTTAATGCACACCTTAGCCGTGCATACTCTAGATTATAGCACAGTAAAAACAAATATTGCAATTCGATCGTCTCTGATGAAGGTTAATTCAGTTGAGCGTTTCGAAATCGCATACAATTTTTAAATGTAATCATTCATCTGCAAAAGTTCAAACGTTGTTTTTTGTTCTGATATGTTACACATTTTGTCATTACATACTTTATGGTTTTCTGTGTAGGTTTTAGAAGACTGTTTTTTTTTTTGCAACGGAGTTGTCGTAATCCCTTCAACTTAATTTGATTGTCCATTCTGTATCTTCTTCGTCTTTTACTTTTTTATTGGTTCCTATCAGCTATGGTAGAGCCTGTACTTATTTTGTCTTATTTTGTCCATTGGTCATTGTTTTACTATAAAAACTGATAACTCCAGGTGGATAATTTTTTACATGTCGTTCAATTTTCATTTTAGATATAGGACACTCATATACATATTTTTGTTTTTCGGGAGTCGTTGCATTTGAAATGTTTCGCTGGAAAAATATTTTACAACAAATACAACTGTTTTAATAATCTTATTTTTTTTTATTTCATGCATTTATTACTGAAATGACGCTTAAAAGAGGGACGAAAGATACCAGAGGGACAGTCAAACTCATAGATCGAAAACAAACTGACAACGCCATGGCCAAAAATAAAAAGACAAACTGACAAATAATAGTACAGATGACACAACATAGAAAACTAAAGACTAAGCAACACGAACCCCACGAAAAACTGGGATGATGTCAGGTGCTCCGGAAGGGTAAGCAGATCCTGCTCCACATGTGGCACCCGTCGTGTTGCTTATGTTATTACTAATCCGGTAAATAGTCTAATTCGGTAGGTCATATTCGTGAAAAGGGTAGGGTATTGTAGTTACGACATAAGGAACATACCCGATATCATCTGTGAAACGGTTATTCCATAACGGTCAACCAACTCGTGATGGTCCGTAAAATTTACGAAGGGATGATTTCAACTTCACCATTTGGAACTCTTGGTTTAATAGTTCCAATTGAGCAGCAATCCTCTATCAAGGAAATCATGATAGGAAATACAAGCCCGGGAATATCGTATCAATTGGGAGATATCTACTCCGTATGCAGGCGCTGCTGTAATGTTGCTACATAGAAATGGAAAGTTCACAATTGGGAAGCTGAACTCATCTCTTTAGTCGTAAAGTTTTGTTTTCAACCGACCCTCATTGTCAATTTCTAGATGTACGTCAAGATATGAGTCAGACTTAACTGTATCTGTATTATCCTTTATCTCTAGTTCGATGGGATAGATTCGTTCAACATAGTCACCAAATTTTGTATTATTTAGTGAGAGAACATCATCTATATAGCGGAACGTAAATTCAAAGGATACTGCTAGCTTCTTATCTTTCTTCCTAAGAGGTTCCTGTATGTAGTCAGCCTCATACTAATAAAGAAACAAGTCGGCACAATTGGTTCCCATTGGAATTCCGACAGTCTGTTGAAAAACACGTCCTCCAAACGCAACAAATATGTTGTCAATCAAGAAATCGAGCATCTTGATAATGTCAGTTTCAGAGAATTTTTTTGTTTGAATCAGAGTGATTCTTTACAAAGTAGGATTTATCCCTCCCCAAGACAAGATACTTTATCTACGTTCGCCATTCTTTTTAATGAAACAAAGTAATACCAACTCTTTCAGTTTGTCTTTTAGTTTGGAATGGGGAATACTTGTGTAAAGTGTAGAAAAGTCAAATGTTTTAATACTATTGCAAGATGAGAGAGTCTAAGATTGTATGTACTCTAAAAGATCTTTGGATTTTTTTAGTATCCACTTCTGATTCACTCCACCTCTAGAATAGGCAGTTTCACAATAACTTTGGACCCCGGCTTTGATTGCTGATAAAATAGATGTTAATAATTTAGAGAGAGGTTTCGTGGAGCAATATACCGTTGTTTGTAAGTACACTTATGTAGTTTAGGTATCAAATGCAGTGATGGAAGATCCAGTTCTTAATCTTTGGTTGAAATTCCAAAGGAACATAGAACAGACCTATGATTATCCAGGATTTCCTCTTTGGTAAGTGTCGTGAGGGTATATGTTGAGTTTCCAAGCGAATTGTCAATACCTAATTCATTTATGAAGCAGTTTATGTAATGATATTTACACACAAAAACGATGTTGTTCGGGGCTTTATCTGCGGGGACAACAACATATTTGTCATGGAGGTATGACAAGTGTTTTGCAATATTTGGGTCTTTAAAAATTGACGTAGTATTGATAGGCTCATTTAGTTTCTTAATTCGGATTTGTATCAACGACCTCACACCCTAATCCATTCGGAAAGAGTATCTACGTCTTCTTTCTTGCGTTTAACCCATTGCCTGGCATAATCCTCGACTGAATCCATCAGTATTTTGAAGTTGTATTTCCAATTGATGGATTTAGTGTCACCAAATCAAATGTGGTATTTGATATGATTGGCCTATAATGATATATTTATTGATGATAATTGTCTGACTTTCGCTTGCAATCAAACCAAAAATAGTAAATCTTAGTATATGAAAACGATTTAAACCGTTTCTTATGTACTATATTAATTCGACTTAATCCATATTGTAACTGTACTATTCCCTTCAGAATATACCAAATACTTAAAATATATTTGTATTTACCATTGTTATTACTTAAATATATGTATCCCACATAAAATATTGCATGATTATTTACTACTAGATCCGAAATCCTTATTTTTGTGTAACTCAGATTTATTATCACTTCGTCAGTTTACGTCTATATAACAGTGTTTTTTCATATGCCTCTATTCTCATCCACTTTCAATTTTAACATTGGCAAAATACATTATTTCGTAATAAGAGGTTTGGCTAGCTATAGAACCATGTTCAACCTAACATTTAATTTTGGGTTATGTCTGTACCAAGTCAGAAACATGACAAACAATTGTCATATCTTATGAACCTTTTTGAATTTACCGTGGGGTTTGACTGATTTGTTAATACCTGTTGTGTCTTTGCACTTTGCGTTTTATTTTAAAATGTCTGTTATGTACTGTACCTTCTATTTCTGTTTGTAAGGAGCCAGTTAATACAAGTTTAATAAGAAGGGGGCAGCAGAAACGTTTATACAACTACTTTTCCGATGGTTATTGTTGACTTAAGTTCATGAATTACATAAAATTTAGTTTGCAACAGTAAATATTGAAATAGTGAATTAGTTATTATTTGAACATATGCTTATCATGACAATAAAAGATGATCAATGATCTTTATAACCCACCTACGGTTGAAATTATAACATAAAAACGTCAAAAGAGCTGATAGAATCGAATTATATCAGTATCCCGACAAGATATTAGAGCTTTGCTTGAGGGAGATATATTCCTTTATTGAAAATGATTTAAAACATTTTATTACAGCACCAATTGTCAATCTAACAATATTCTAAATCTCATGCCAGTATAGAAATACTGTCTTTTGGGCTGGTTATACCCTCGCAGACTAATAGTCCACCAGCAGAGGTTCAACCCTGATGTAGTATTAACATTAACGGTAACAATTGTTATACACCTAGATGCGCATTTCGACAATAAGTTTTTCTTTTCTGATCTGTGCGATCGTTCGTACGCCCGTCAAATACATATCAGATTAAAGTGTTTGGTCAAAGTAGTATATAAATAAAATCTACTCACATAAATATGAAACGTTATGAACTTTATAAATTGTGTGCAAAATTAAGATTCAGGTTGGAAATAAGTACATTCTGGTGTTAAAGTTTTGGTTACATGTATGGTATTTATGCATGAAACTTCGGTTACAATTTTTTGAACATACTATAACTGGTAGGTGAATTAACTTTCCAAATTGTATGATAAATAAAGTTTCGACCCCGACTTTACAGTTCGTTGAAAATAGTCTTAGGATACACGTTGTGCGTTCAGTGAATTGCGTGCTACGGATACTTTATCTGGTTATGCCCTAAAATGTTGAATAGAAAAAAATATCAGATACTTAATCCTGATCCATCGGTGGAACCAATTAAATCTGGCTTCTATTTTTACAGATTTCTCTCTACGTTTTAAGTACTTTCCTTTTGCATCCAAATTTGGGGTTGATATGTTCTTAAAAAAGGAAAAATTGAAAAAAATGTGCTTCGATCGCACCAATTTTCCAAAAGTTTGTATTTTTATTTTCAAACACTGTTTTAATACCGCTTCTATTGGACTGTTTGTTATCAAGGTAATATGTTCTCAGTTAGACAGTACTTCGGTACTGACATGAGTTATAACAAGTGTTTCCTAATTTATCCGAAACTGATGTTCCTATCCTTGGCAAATTTTGTAAGGTATATTTTCTTTATAAGATCTGTCGTTTCCAAGCATTTATTCAACACTGACTAACATATATACCGGTTTCAGTGGTTCTGATGATAACTGATGTTTGTTGTTTGCTAAACGGCCGGGCAAAGATAAATCAACATGCATTACCGCAGTGTAAGCTTTAGAAAAGCGATATCAAAAGGCCATCAAACTGTAGTCGACAAGCAGTGTTGTATTTTTACATGCTCTGATATGTTCTTATTACTCAACACAAGTGTTAGTAAGCACATGTTCGATATCAGTTTATGTTTGTCTGTAACAGTGGTTTACGTTTTCGAAACACTTTCTTCCCAAGTTTTGAGAGACGTGAACTTCCGTTTCTTATTTCGTAATAGCTATTTTATTTTTGCATGCCTCGCTATACACGGGTATCGTGTTTGATAATACAATGTACAACATACACGACATGATTGAATACAAGGCATACGATATGATATCAGTTTTATAAAATAGAAATAACATGTATTTTACAGGTTAAATAATGTCTTCAGTAGGCGGTAGGCCATGGGACATAATGTGTCGTGGCGTAGTTCCAGGCTACTGCTTAAACAATTCAGTTTCACTATGGGATATAGATAATGGGTGTCCACTTCCATTCGATGCAGCTGTTGAATTATTAAAAATTCACACAATTGGGATTATACGTGATATTGAATGGCATTCAATTAGAGGGATCGGTACGTTTGTAATTGGAATGTCACATGCAAGACAACGAAAAGCGAGGACCTTCGATGATACAAATTTATTCACCTGGAAGATAGATGGTGGTGTTAATAATCGATGGCGTGCTTATCATAAAGCTGGATTCGATGGCTTAATAGTATTATGTGTAACTCCACAATACGTCATTCCTCCAAATTCAACGAATGTAAGTCCACAAGACTATGCACTAGCATTGGAGCAAAGATTGGTTCAAATCTTCTCTTTCAATATGAATGATTCTAGACTAGGAAACATATCATTTTGCACCGGACAAATGGCTAACCATCCATTTGCAGGATTAGTTTATATGGCATTTCAGTTTATCTAAAACGCTTCACAGAGCAACATGATTTTGAACTTAATACTTAAAGTAGATATAATAAAGTTTTACGTTAATTAATTACTATTAAGGGAGAATATAATTGAACATTTGGTCTAAACAAATGCAATGCGCAAACAAACATTTTAAAATGAAGATATTATTTGATGAAGTTTAGACATTTCTTTTTTATTGAATGCTAGGATGGTTTTACTTTCCAATAATCATACAATTTGTATTCATTGTATATGTCTCATGTCATACAAAGCAGATCACGCATCCAAGAAAAGATCACCATAAGACATTACAGAAAAAGAATATTTTTTGTATAAAAATTCATCGGAATATTATCCATGGAAACGGCTTGAAACCAGTAACACTAATGTAACTGACATTCAAAGTTGAAAAAAGAGAATGAATTATATTCATAATATATTTTTTTTCTATTTTAGATGTATTTTATTTATAAAATCCTGTACACTATACCCTGATTTAAATAGGGAAGCAAACATTACGATTCCTGTTTTAAAATGATTGTCATTTTTCAATGTTTTCCAAAGAAATAAAAACGAGAAACTAAAAAAAATAATTATTTAAGTGTGTCTGTATATAATTTTTAACATAAATAAGTTTTCAATTAATCTTAACACATTTTAGGAATCTAACTACCTAAACTAACCAGTTAAGTCTGAGTTTATATTTACGAATTGTGAGTCCTAGAGCAAAAGCATAAGCCGAACTCACTACAAAAGTCAAAAAGTCTGAAAAGACCAGTTTTTGTCTGAATTTGCATGAAGTTTTACTCGACATTCTTAATTTGTCTGAATAATTTTTAAACATTCTTGACATAGTATGAATTTGTCTAATAAGGTTCTTGATTTTTCTTGACAGTATGAACATTGTCTTAAAATTTCTCGACACTTCCTGTATCATCTGATAAGAGTCTGGATTAGTCTCGACCAATTCTTGACTGTCTTAAATTTGTCTCGATCTGTCTTGACATATTCTTGACATTCTTAATAATGTCTGAATATGTCTCGACATATTCTTGACATTCTAAATAATGTCTGAATATGTATAAATTTCGCCTGAAATGTGAACAAACTTATTTCGTTTAGGTCAAAGAATTTGTTCCCATCTTGATTCAAAAACCTTATTCATTTTTAAGAACAACCCAAAAACATATTTTATTCAAATTTGAGTGTTGAATTTTATAATTTTTTATCAAAAATAAATATTTGTGATAACTCCTTCCTGAAAAGAAAAAAAATGTTTAGATCTATATTATGCATGTCTGTTTGAGAACCATTTCATAAGACCGATGATTTCTATAAAAATCATTGATGGGACCCATTATAAATACATTTTTTTATTATTCCTGGAGTAGATAATAATTTTCTTTTAATCTTAGGGAATTATTCAATTTGTTTTTATGTTAAAATAATTAACTTCATAATTTTGATGAAGAAAATCCATTTCAATTCAATTTTTTTCATCAAAATGATGATTTTCATTTTCATCTATCAACAAACTTTTTAAATTGTAGTGGCATGGTTGGTCAACTGATAAGTTGTATGGCTGATTACAGGTAAAGCAATAACTTCTATTTGACAGTTGCGTGTACTCTGGGTGTGGAATACCTTAATTTTATGGGGAACATCCTGTCCATGTGTAATACTTAATATATTCCAACAGATGACATTACACAAATTTTTCTTCTGTTAAATGAATGATTTGTATATCATCATAATTTGCTATTTATATAAACCACATTTTGGTATAATAATTATTTACCATATCAACATTGAATATTATGAATGTAGAATGAAATATGTCTACAGTATGATTGGTTTGAATCATTTAATTTATAAGATTTAGGAATCAAAATTTGTAATTATTTAAAAACCCACATTGAAATTGTTTTATATCAACACACCCACATTTGAATTATTTTATACTTTAGATTTCATAGCCGTATTTGCTTTAAAAAATATTTATATACCCAAATTTTCAATTATTTTACATGCCCAACTTTTATTTTTGTTGTAAAGAAGTGTAACTTGAAACAACAGTATATCACATAAAGAGAAAAAAAGATTAAAGTTATATCATGAATATTGGTCATGATTTGTAAAACTCAGAACTGTCAAGTAAATTTAAGACACGATTCAAAATGTTCAGAATATGTCAAGTCATACTGAGAAAAAATAAGAATGTCGAGAATATGTCGTGAAATTTCAAGACAGTATTCAAATGTCAAGAATTTGTCAAGAAATTTTAAGACCATATTCAGAATGTCGAGAATATGTCGAGTAAATTTCATACAAAGTTAATATAAATGAGAATTTGTCAAGAAAAATTAAGACACAAGTCATACTTTTGGAGAATGTCGAGTAAAAGTTCATGCAAATTAAGACAAAAACTGGTCTTTTCAGACTGTTAGACTTTTGTAGTGACTCTAACCTAGATTTAGATTAAAGGAAATATTGTTGGTTTGCTGTCTGATAGATACAAAATCCTGGTAAGGGTCCAGAGACAGTTCCCCGGCCTCGTTTCAATATCCATGATGATTAACCGAGTTATGGTTTGATGTTTAATTGGTCTTTTTTGTAAAAGTATTTCTAATCCTCGGGAAGTATTAACATGTTATTGTTTAATAATTGATCGATTGGGTATGGTTTGTCAACACCCAGTGGCAAATATTTGATGCATATTGAAGACGAAAACAAATCAATAATGAACACAATAGTTAGGCTCTGCAAGGTATGTAGAAATGACAGATGTAAAACAATTCAAACGAGAAAACTAATGTATGTACAAAATAATGAGTGAAAAACAAATATGATATACAGCAACACACGACAACCACTGAATTACAGTTGATTTGCACGAGCTTTAAAAACAGGACGAAAAGCGAAGCTGACCGAGCTTTTCTCATGTTTCGAAGCAATTACAAACACATTTGATATTTTCCGACGATTGACATTCATTGTTTTTTCCTGTAATTTATACCGGGCACTTAACGGTTAAGTTGTTTAAATCCAAATAGATGTCTCTGATTTTTCAAAGAAATCGACAAACTTGAAACGCGAAAGGCGAAGAGGACCACACACTGAGCTGTTATGCCTAGGTCACACATTCACGGATTTCACGTCGGATTAGCTACGGATGCGATCCGGTATCATTCGTGGCAATCTGTATTAGTCCGTAGATTTCCGTATTGCAGCCGTAGTTATACGTAGTAGTACTTGTATATCCGTGACAATTTTTGAACACGCGCAAAATATTACCACGGACCAAACAACCGTAGCATATCCCTTCCAAAGCGTATAAGAAGGTACTGATCCGTTTTAGTCCCTATCAAAACCGTATTAATCCGTACTTATTCGTAAGCCCAAAGGATTTATACGGTTTGTTCCGGAGAACTACGTACTAGTACGGTTACACCATGATTTGTTAAGGATACAATACGATTTGTTACGAATATGTCACGGAACGGCACGCTTTCATTACGTTGAAATACGAATAGCTAGGGATCAGCCAGGGTTCTCAAAGTCTGTTACGGTTTACTACGTTACAACACGACAAAATACGGAATACTGCGGTCCTTGACAAACTGACATAGGCCTCTGTATAAATACTCCCTACTCATTGGGCCCAACATAGTCTGTGTCTCACCGTAGAGGTATACATAACATTATCCAACATGAACGATCAACAACTGGTGCTTGCAATTAATTGGCTTGAATTGGATATTGATATGGCACAAAATTCCACGGAAGTGGTCGAGATACTTGATGACAGATGTAGAGGTGACCGGAGGCAGAGGAGATGTTGGACTAGGGACTGCCATGGCTTCTTGGAAGATCTATCCATGATCAGTATGAGGCCCCCATGGCTGAATTTTGTGTGGAAAATCCAGCTGCATTTAAGAACTTTGTAAGCATAGTCCCGAATATGTTCCAAGAACTGCTACATGTCGTTGGTCCGAGGATTACGAAGAACACCACCTGGTACAGACGGACAGATAAATAATTTATTAAACAAAAACAAAAAAAATCATCGATTCACTGCCATAAAGAAATGATAAATCACAAGCTTGAATTAGAAATGATTAACGGCTTATGAAAATGTGGCGGTTCGTACTATTCCGTATCAGACCGTTCTCATTCGTACTAAACTTTACTTATACCGTAGCAAACCGCTGTTTATCCGCAGTACATACGCCCTGACACTAGTCGTTGCGTATTAAACCGTGTCATTTTTTCGTATTAAACCGTGTCTTACCGTAAGAATCCGTATCACTCATGTCGCCAAATGACCCCTTTCCTACACTATCCGTGGTATTTACGTCAAAACCCGTAGTCATACCGTTATGCATCCGTATCGATTCCATATCGGACTATGGAAACTAAATTTCCGGGATCATCCGTGAGATTTAATCCGTAGTGGAACCGGCGAGGTGATCCGTGAATGTGTGACCTAGGCATTAACTACAGATGGGTGCAGTCCTAACCTGTACAGCAAGTTAACTTGATAACCAGTCATTTGGACTGGTCAAAGTTAACCTGTGACAGGATTTAGGACTGCTCTGACCAGTCCTAGGACCACAATCTAGTTAACTTGAAAAGCGGACTTGGTCCTAAGACTGTTTTTTTAATGTCTGCCGAAAAAGTTAACTAGGAAACAGGTCCGCTATTGATATAAGTTAACTTCGAAACCAGTTCTGTCATAAGTTAACACAAGTTAACTTTGATTTTGACAACTCCGATCGAACCAGACCTGATCTCAAATTAACTTTTGGCCTGGTCTGCTCAACACTAAGTTAACTTGTAACCAGGACCGCTCTACATCGATTTTTTTAAATATTTTTAATGTCTTTGTTTCTTGGTATAAACATAAAAAAATAAAGTCAATTTAATACTTCCGTGATATAAACATGATTAAATACATGTAGCTCCGTGTTGAAGTGATCTATTTGTAAAAAAAGTACGCATAAAAATTTGCTTGTTTATATACAAATATATCCGTGATCTGCCTTTCTATATATTAAAAAAACCGATAATGGTTACAATGCTAACGAGCTGAATATATATTCCAATACATATCAAATTCTTTAAATTGTATTAACCATATTTGCACTTTATAATGTAAATCTATATATAGCCGTAAAGTAAATCAGAAATATTTTTATGTCGGGATAGAATATATAATACAAATGACAGCAATATTGAAACACAATCACTACCGGGGTACGTTTTACCCGCATAAATTAAGAGTGCCAGCATGTCCTCCTTTTGTTCAATATATTGATGCGTAACAAAATTTCAGTCTTTTTGATACCCCAGGCTGACTCGTATAGCAAAATTATTTGACCGTATCAACCAAAACTTACCAAATTTGCACTTTATCATGTAAATCTATATAGCCGCATAATAATTCAGTAATATT